ATATTATTCATGACTAACATTTAAGCATAATTTGATGACTTTGTATCAAAGATACCAAAGTCTTTCCTTATGTATTGAACAATTTGATGTTTCAATTTATGTACAAAAAGACATTTCGCGATGGGTTCAAAGGAACATGCATTATGTATTATTTTCATCTTTAAAAGATACACTTTGACGACAGAATTGTTCAGGAATTAAGTATTTTATTTATTTTGCTTCAATAATTTTTCCTTCAATTTTCAAAGTAAATTATTTTATTTGAAAATTTTGATGAAAATTCTTTGTCTTAAACAATTCAATTTTAATCAAAATAATTTCCTTTACTAATTGTATTTTTCATCATTTACGTATATTAAATTTTTGCTTTTCGTTTGTCACAAATAAGAAAGAATAAAGAATTAGTATATTGTTATTCGCTAGTATTTACTATAATCATTTTTTCTAATTGAGGATTTTCAGAATTCCTTTCCGTGTTCATTACCTAATCTCGCCCAAGTGACCAGGTGCTACTTGCGTGAGTTAAGGCAATTGGCACGATGACTTAGTTTATACAAATTTCTAATGATTTCTATGTGTGACTGACATTGCGCTAGTGTATCGTGCGCGATGCAATTTTCACATGTGTGTGTGGTTAGGATGTGGAATTGCGTCGTTTTAAAAGTTCAGTATAATTTATAATGGGAATTCTATTTCATTTGTACATATTTGTTGCATACTCGAAGATTATAGTACACAATACATTTAATGAAACCTAAATGACAATTAACTTCCTGATCTTGAGCAACAAAAGAAATGAAATCGACTACGATTATTTACGTAGTATATTTTATCGAAGATTCTATTACTTGAAAATTACTTGTAATACGCAAAGGTCATTAGTCTTTGTCAGTTGATTTCAGGGTTTGGTACGTACCTTAGAGTGTGAATGTTTGCAATGTTCGGGTGTCGGGGGAACCCCGGGGCTTCCTCTCTAGTTTAGGCCGCGCCCGAACATTTTGTGAGAGAACCGTGTAGTATTTGTTTGCGAGAATGCGTTTTGCAATTTTTTAAATATAGGGTTAGGTAGGTAGGTCACTTAACTTCTGGTATGAGTGTGTTGGATCTAAGTAGGTAGGGTCAGGGAAGGACTGTCATAGGTCCTATACCTGTAGTTCGATTTCGAGAGTCGAAACGTTAACCGATTCAAACGAATTGTACCGTTTGTTTTGGTTTTACTTTCGATTCTTGGAATCGCGCGTCTTTACAGTCGCTCTTCCCGTTCGCGGTCGTTCGCGGGTAGCCCCCCCACGAAACGTTCGTCCCGCTCAAGTTCCGCCACACCTGTGCCTACAACGATTCCTAGAATCGTTGAAGGACTGTGTATTGCGCAGAATTTCGAGCGTAGGTTTAAGTTTCAGGCATCGACAGGACCGCCGAAGAAAGAAGAGACTCGATGCAGTCGAAGGGGCCCTGACAAATTGTCTCAAGAGTGGACTACAACAAGTGGCTCTTCATCTTCATTTTCGGATGGGGATGAAAAGTCATTCTTCGTTCCTACTTTGTCATTATACTGGTCCGTAGCTGTATTTGTAGTTTTTCAGATGATACTTGTACCACAACATTTTGGGTAAATCGTGATTTTGTATTAGTGTTGCGTAATGAGAATGATCGCGTTTACTTCCAAGATAGTGTTGCAAATAATTTAAACTTGTCGCGGTTATTTTTAGCGTTATGGACGATGAATATTTTCGCAGTTGCTTTCAGAATAGTGTCGTGAGTAAGCACTGGTCGTGGTTTGCATTAGAGGTGCGAGAAATATATGTTATTCGCATTGTTTATCTATGTATTTTTGCAAATAATTAGTTTTATAGTTAACTTTAGAGTTACGAAGGAAGAGAATTTTTTGCGGTTTATTTCAGTGTAGTGTTGCGTATGTGAACTGATCTCGGATCGCGTCAGTGCTGCGAAATATAAATTTAAATCTCGTTTGAAATATAGTGAACCGATTTTAATTGCTTTTGGAGTTGCAATCGGTTGTATTCTTCGCGTTTGCTTTTGGAGTAGCATTGCGAATATTTACTGATCGCGTTTGTTTTGATGGAGAGTTGCGACTAATAAAATGTCCAAATATAACATTGTTATCTGCTTCAGCATAAAGAAGCACCCTGGGACAGCTGGCCTCGTTATAAAAATTGTTTTCGCGAAATATGCATCTTCCAATTTTTAAGTCGTTATGGCAGTCTCTTCGTTCACGAAGTCTATAAGGTGTAAGAACTACTTACATAGCTTGTCTGTGGTATTACAACTATTTGGAATAGTTTAAAATGTTGGAATTTTAATCATAATGTCGGAACAGGGAATTATAGGTGCGCTCGATGAAACTTCCAAGCATCGAGTTGTAGCCAGTTTTAGTTGGGCATGTCGAATCGCGTATGCGCGCCATTTCCATGAACGCAATCTTGTTCTCTGTTCTGTATAACGGCGCAGTCCTGATATCTAAATCTGCTCTGAACTCAAACACATTGTGGCGGGGAAAGAAATGACAAGAGATGTATAGAAACGTCAGTGCATGTGAAGGATGGAAATTAAAAGAACGTACAGACGAATAGAAATGAAACTTTTTACTGTTTCAAGTTTGAATTCTAGAAAAGTATTCGACTTACGGACTATAAATAATTCGTGACTGTATTTATGGAAATTGTTATGAAATTTACAATACTGTTTCAAAATTAATAATAAGAACTGTTCATAAGAAGGATATTGTAAATACGAATAGGGCATTTTGTATTTTCGCAGGAAAAGGTTGATTTAAGTCAAACTATATTTAAAAAATTAATGAAGTGTACTTAAAATAAACGTCACAAATGTTTCCAAGTCCATGAATACTCTTTTGCACATGATTTCTGTTCAAGGAAATGTTTGCCCCGTCGTGTTTCATTTTACCGTAAAGTTCTTTAATTAAACATATTTTAGAACTTGACACAAGTGTATTAAAATCAGGTTTCTCTCCTGAAATAATTCACGAATATCTGTTCCACGGTTGCTCCATTAATGGTATTCCTATTGTTAAACTTCAGCAAAGTTTTCTTCGCAACGTGAATTCGGAAATTATTACGAAGAAGAATAACACTTCGTCTATTGTACAACGTCCATTATTAAATATATGTACAACAACTTAACTTTCTTCTGAAAATGACTAATTATAAGTATCTTATGGTAGAACTTCTGGTGGAAGTTAAAAGTGAATTGATTCAATGTACTATTTTTACGCGATGTAAGACAAAGTTATCTCTTTAGTTATTTATTATATTCAATAGTTTTTTATGCTTCAAAAGGAAATTCTGGGTCAGGTTAACCACGTTTTTTTGCATTAAGAATTTTTTTTCGCGCCCCTTTTAAGTCATATAATAGCGTCCTCCTTTTTAGGATTCGTGATCCCTGCTTTAGAAAATGTTAAAGCAAAGTGTTGTTCCCGTGATCCTTTATGAATCGCCATGCCAGTCTCGAGGAAGTTGGTTCGCGCGAAAATTTATTCCGCGAATGAATCGACTGGTATTTACTCGCCCTAACCTTGGTCGTTGAGGGAAACGATCGGCTGGCCGTGTTTACCCGAGCACTGTGTCAACTGTAAGTAGTTTCACGTGAAAACGAAAAAACCATTTTTGGACTAGCCGTCGACGGCCCCGTGCCTCAAATGAATTAATTTCTTTATGCAAACAGAGCTCCGCCAAGCGAATAATTTTTCAGTCGAATCGGCATATGGCACGGATTAAACGCAAACAGCAGTGCGCAACTCGCGAAATTGTATTTCTCGGTTAGTTTTATTCATTGGGACAGGTAATATGTAAAATATGGTAATTAATGTTGTACTTCGAGCTGTTATGGAAAATGATTTTCAAAAGCGTTAACGTGAATAAATTATCGACGTTGTCGGGGCATTGTTGTGTCATTAATTATTTTTTATTCGTCAAGTAAATATTTTAAATAAATGATTGCAATGAAAGTTTAAAAAGCCAGCTACCCAGGAATACCAGGAACAGAGCAAATTTTTGTTCAAACTCCCTAGAACTCTTATATGTACTTCAACAACTACCCGCCAAATTATTAGTGGACGACGATTATTTAAGGTGCAACGAGTTTTTACGAGTTTTCTGTGCTTTATTTGCTCAATAACTATAGAATACATCACACTACATTTTTTTTACAATAACGAACAACTGGCGAGTAGGGACTTAAAATAACAACTAAACAGATATTAGTTGTGCTTAAGTGTCAATTTTGATCTGTTGTCTGGACCAAGGTTGCTCAAGAAGCTAATATCGTCATAGACATACCCGAGGCCATGGGAGGAATCATCGGTCTTAGATTGGTCCAAAATTGCTAATATGCCGGCCAATCAGTTTGGAGGCGAAGTTGGTCGGTGGGAAACGACATGTAACTGTTAGTTTTAATAATTTTCCCACGTCTGGGATTTTCTGTGAGGTGGCTACGGGCCCAGATGTTTCCTGCGATACTTGATTCGCCATAAAACATCTGGCACCGGTTTTCGATGTTATTGCAGGTAGTAAAGTCATAGAACGCCTGGATTTGGAGGGCCATGCAGATTTGAATGAATTTGATAATTAACTAGCCGCCTTAATGGCATTTGGTTATAGGCAAAACTTGATTGTATGAAAGGTGTGACTCTACATCCGCTGGCTTTATGAATTTACTGTTACGCTGCAACCCAGAATAAGTCCTAATTATTATTTCGCGCCGTAATACAATGTATTAATAAGTATCTATTCAGTTGTTATTAGCATTCTGAAAGTTATCGTTATTCGTTGTGATTATTAATTGCTCAGAAATTGCAATCGTAAACCATTTGATTGCATTATCCTCGATTTCACACCTAGGCGTCGCAGTTTTTCAAACGATTTGTATACTGTTCTTTTTCCCCCGTCCTTTCGCGCCGTTTCTTGATTCGACCGGAAAACATTTGAACGATTGTTACGAGAAAAATGGCGAAAAAAGTTTGCCTAACAGACTTCGGCCCGCCGTTCGTCCTCGCTGATTAGGTTCAGACCGGCCCGACTGTAGAACTCCAGCATTTTGCTCGACCGATTGAATTTCTTCTCGGGGAAGTCGACTTGGATTCTGTTCGGTCGACCGTACCAGTGATTAGAAGTCATTGGAACCTTGTGACAATTGTTCTCCTTCGAAATCTCGAGCCAATAAAGGCTAGGTTTCGTGCGATCGCAGCGTGGCTTGGCAGGATCGTAATCCACCGCGCTGTGAAGACGCTCGTACGCCGATTTCGTGCTATCTTCTTTATTATTGTTAAAATACGAGATCGAATACCGCGGTGCAAACGGTTCCAACTGAAATCAATATTTTATTTATTTTCTTGCTACTCTAACGGGAGAAGAGGTTCCTTTGTTGCAACGTAAAACAGACAAAAATTTATTTTGACAGCGTATCAGCTGATCGAGGTATTGGAAATCTTCAACAGTAATTATAGGAAAAAATGTCATCGTTAGTATTGGATCAGCAAGAGTGTTGTACGGTCATAGTCGGCGAGTATGGCATCTATGTTAGCGTAGCGACGAAGTATGTGTTTGATGGCCTGACACTGTAATATGTAAGCGTTGACGTCAGAGTTCGGAGGAAGGCAAACAGTGCCAACAATGATAGATTTAAATCCAACACGAATCTAGACGAGCAGCTGTTCGATACAGATGGTAATTGCTATAAGCAAACGGCAGCAAAGCGAATCATGCACAATACTACCTATATTCCAACAACTAGTCTGAGATTCGTTCGATCCGAAGATTTTCTAATTATTTGCTTCAATTTGGTATCGAGTATAATTATTAACCTCTACAACAATAGCAACACTATAAAGAAAAGTCGAGAGTAATGAGTTATGCAGCCCACGTAGGCTAGTATTATTGATTGAGAAAGAAATATTTCAACCGTACAAGTTAGGAGAAACACTCTGTATACGTAGTGTTGGGTAAATCTGATACGAGCGGCTATACGAACATGAATGTCGAGTAAATGACTGATCAAGCAGCTGGATAGTGGGTTCAATGAAAACTATCAAGAGAATGTCCATATTTTGGTCGACGTGAATTGTGGCAGTCATATATCGCTAAATGAAAACTACTGTTGGGTCGCAGATTAGAAGTGGATGAAAATGAGGTTTGCCTAACAGGAAACCTAGCTTTAATGGTTTAGGTATGACTGGAAACAAGGGCTGTCTACATCCTAACAGATAAGATGTCAATCAGAGTTTTAGATTAACTTTAGATTTTTAAAACTTTTACTGTTTTATCCACCTATCTCTAAAAACTGGTTCGAGTAAAAAATTTTTATAGAAACCTCTAACAAAGGAAACAAGTAAAAGATTAAATCTAGATTCATCCGCTCTTTACAAAACTTAATTCAGCGAAAGTTAATCCGCGTATCATCGCGAGGGATTGTGTTATCAAACGTAATGAAAGTATCGTATTAAATTATGCATTCCCAGTCGCTCCATGCAGCCGAAAATTGTTTTGCCGTATCTCACGTTGCAGTTTCGATTTCCTTGCGAACGAACCATGTCCAAAATGGAACGTTCAACGAGTGCACAGCCAGCATTAAAGGGGGTAGTCTGGTATAAAACTTTGAAAATATCGATCTTTCGCATTTTCTTCAAATGTCAGGTATAAACGGATCGTAAATATTCGAAAAATTGTCAAAATTATAAGTCTCTGAACCGAACACATATCTTAACAATACACTCCGAAACTTTATAGCCATTTTTCTCGCAAGAAAATTCTTTGGACTGGTGAATAAGATGTCTCAAGATTCAGTCAACCGATCGATGGGAAGTTTTGACTTAGAATTGTCTTTTGTGTTAAAAACTTGTGTAATTATAATGAATTTGCGCTGTTTGGCCCAAACTACTCCCTTGATTGTTAAAGTCTGACGTTCGTTCGAAAATTTCTCTTACCACGGGGTAAAACTTGGCGGCTCTCAGAGTATTCTCGTCTCTTGCCCGCATCTGAACCCAAGGAGTGACATACTCTGTCTGATACATTTTCTTATCTTTCTTATCCGTATCATGACAGGCGATTTACAATCGGATTAACTAAAAATTTATGGGCGTCTCGCGACAGAACGCATACTATTGACAAACGTCATCGAAGGAAATGAAGGTGGCACGTGGTTGTGAAACAGCGAACGCCGAGAACAAAGAGAATGAAAGTCGGGCAGCGCATGAAAGACTGCATTTAGCTTCAGGTTGCTTCGAAATCGTGGATGGGCAAAATTTTATTCGTATAATTCCAACGCGCGATCGACATAATACACAAAATACATTAAAAATATTCTCAACTGCAATAAATACTAAATTCGTCGGTTAATTTTCTTTTTAATTAGTTACTAATGATTCGGTTTCGTGTCACAGGTTTCTAACAAAATTTTGTTTGATTTTAAAATTTCAAAAGTCATGATACTTTAATTGCTGCTAGATTGACTATTTCTTTTGCCGTTTTATCTATTATTAAAATTTAAAATAGAATGTTTAATTGAGAATTGAATAAAAATTAAAATTTAGCGATGAAAAAAATACAAGAAATATGTCACGAGAAACGTAAAAGAAACTATCAAATATAGAAAGTCTAAAATTGTATAATCAGACTTCCTAGTTATTAAACTGAAATATCATAGCCACGTGGGAATGTACTTAGAAGTCTATACCTGTAATTTTATCAGAGAGTATTACCTAATCACGTGATGGAGGCTGTGAACCTCTGCATTGCACCGATAAGTTTGACTAATTATCAAATTAATTTTAAAAACGGACTCATTCATACTGTAATTAGATCTGACTCCGCAAGTCCATACTATAATATTTGTTGACAAGATAAGATAACGAAACTATGATTCTGTATTTCTATCGAAGCAGACATTGAAGTATTTGTTGGCTGTCGTTCTACCAGGATGTTCGAAGACTATATAAATATAAAAATTGAAATAGCTTTCTCATAACTCTCCCTTGAGAGTCTAGAATTTTTTGTATGATGTCAAATCAGTTCTTAAAATTTTTTCAAGTCTAAAATACAGTGAGTATAAAGAGTACAATAAGTAACTCCAAAAGGAAATTTATATGCCTCGGATTATTATTAAACTTTCTTAATACAAATTATTATTTATCTGGATTCTAAAAATTTTGAATCAAAGCGTCACAGTATTTTTTCCTTAAATTAAAGACATTGAATAAGAAAAACCCTATATTTTTAATAAGCAAATAAAGAAGCAATGAAATATTGTCAGAGTTGATCGTTTAGGTAACAGTAATTGGTTCGTCCACCTTATATTCGAATCACAATTGTAACTTGAAGTTTCGAGTTTCGAGTTGCGAGAACTCGAACATTTTGAGTTTCGAGATTTCGAGATAGCGAGATTCGAGATTTCGAATGTCTGTGTCCCTACTTTCTATACCCACTGTGTATTTTTCTATAAAGTAATTTCGTCAGATTTTTGATCATGCTGACAATGTATAATTCTGACCTAAATCATGACCTTATGTCGTTCTTTAACAAGTGCCAGGACGCGCCATCTCACGAAACGTGCAACAAGTACTCCTGGGTAAATTATTAGTTCGACGGTTTTATGTCGTGCGGCGCTGCTTGTATAATTCCCTCTAATTTCCACAGTGGTGAGCGTGATCGGAATTAAATCAATTACAAGCAACGATTAATTAATTGCGTTCGAAAGTGGTCGATAAGTAGCAGAGTTTTCTCTGTCGTTTTCAACCCCCAGTCAACTTTACCAACTGAATTGGGAGCTTTATTCGATTAACGCGTTGTTTGCTTACTCCTTTCTCGTAGTATGCTTAGTCTGTTTCGTCTTTTAGTACTTCACAAACATCTATAAAAGCGATTTCGTTCGCAGAGACATTAATTATCCTGCTACTTCATCACGCGGTAATAATTTGCTAATTATAGAATAATTAAGCATTCACACCTATTTTAATTCAGGCCACATACATAGAATTTTCCGAGTTAAAGATAATTGTACACAATTGTAAATATAAACTATACCCTCAATTCTTTGGGGCATAGCAAGTTTAAAAATTACTCACCTTTATAATACATTGATATGCCTGATGGAATATTTTTTAATTCACGAAATGGGTGTCAGCCCATTGAATTATATTATTTAATACATTTATAATATGGTATATTATTACATAAATTTCCAACGCATTATACTATTGAAGAAATCAAATCGATGCATTAATGCCATGAAAAAAAAACATATTTTTTTTAAAAAGAATTTATGAATGTCTGCTTCACGTCAGCTCTATTGTTAAAGGTTTTCCTATTGTTAAACTCTTACGAAGTTTTCTTTGCAATATCGGGTCTGGCGTTATTGCGGAGATGAATGATACCACGTCTATTGTTCAACGTCGTTTATTAAATTCAGCAGCTTCAATTTCCTGTGAATACGGCCAGCAGTAATATATAGTGCGAACCATAAGTTTTAAATAATGATACGACGTATTAACGAAAGGAACATTCTGGTGGTAGGAAAAATCGAACGCTGTCACAATTCCAAATAAAAACGTAACAATTTTGCACGCGTATGCGCGAATCGCGTGTGTATATATTTAAATGCTTCGATGATATTTATAAACAATGCTATCTAGGTTTCACGTTTCGTCGAGAGCCGTGTCTTAGGCGTTTCACAATGTTGCAGCAAAAGGGCAGAAGCACTCCCGAGAGGAAACTTGCCTTTTTCACTCGATCTCATTTCCGAGTAAAATGCCGGTTGCAATAGCATTCGTGGAAAATATACAGGGTGTGAGAGAAATAATGACTCAGAAAGATAGAGGTCTTACAATGCTAAGCATACATTGTCCTAGCATTTCATAGGATGGAGTACCGTGGCTGTCAAAGTTATCCAACAAAATGAAAGGTTTCGATAGTTTAATTAAGTTTAACTCTTTGGCCACGTATGATGCTTTTTTGAATATTTTCCATGCTAATTTTGCTAAAATTACTAAGTATTTGTAACTGAGTGTGGTTACCTAATATCTAAGTATTCATTCTGGGGTCAAATTCAACGCAGAGACGATGAAAATTATTCCATAGAATCCGACAGCGTTTCAACTTGTGGGTCAACATCCGAGCACAGAGGCCTTACAAATTACAAAGCGGGGATTTCGATTAACTGTACCGAGATTTGCGTAATTTTCATTTACATCGAGCGCCGCCTCGTCGAGTTCGTTACGACATATGCATCGCGTCGAGACGAGCGTAATCAAACTGAACCGAACACGGCACACGGGTTAATCGTCTAATCAAATTAGTAGAAACGGACGTCGAGGATTGGCGGAATTTCTAACCTATCCGCCGGTCACGTTTTACCCCTTATTTGAGGGAACTCGTTTGCCGATTTGTGCAACAGTTAGAGTATTTCTTTTACCTCTACCATCGCGATCACGACTAAAGACCGCTTAAACAATTTATTTTACGCGAAATTGTTACTTTGTCAAATATCACTCGATAAAGTGTAAATTACACTAACGTTATGTAGAGTTTTAATTTTCCGAACGAAGGCTCAGTGAATTGTTGTTTCAAAACTTGACACTAACTAAAAATCTATTTCTGCACCGAAGAAACTAGCGTTCTCGTGCGAACCTATCGAAGCTTCTCCTAAAAATTCTATGAAAGCACATGCAATCTGGTCTCAAAGCATCCTGACTGATCGACTTCTACCAAAGACTGGCAAAGTGGCAAGCACCAAAGATAGCAGGTACTCGAACACGGTCTTTTGCAATTCCCGTCCGAAAGGGTAGCATCCTAATCTCGAGCGAACCATCTCGCGGAGTAACGAATCGGGAAGAAGCATTTGGCCAACTGGAACGTATTTCTACGTCGGCGAAGAAATCGCGAGCAGGTCGGATATGGTATCGGTGATCCTGTAACTCTTCTCCTGCCTTACTGAACGGTCGAGGCGGTCCAAGTGGAGAGAAAAAGGGAGATCGTGACGGAAAGACGGAGAGGAAAATCGCGGTGAAGAAGGAAAAGGAGTGAAGAAAAGATAAAGGGAGGTGGATCATAGAACGGATGCAGAGAAGTAGAGGAGGAGAGGGAATGACTGAAGTTAGAAGGTAGGGGGTAACGGGAAGTGGAAAGTGGATGTGGAGAAGGTTAAGGCATTGGGAGTACAGGGGGCATGTCACGCGACACACAGGGCAGAGTTTAATCAGGTTCGAGCGAGGTACGCGCCAAATGTTTTGGCCGTTCAAGGTCAGCTTCGCGCCTGCCAACGAAATCACGAAAATACCTTTATTATAGTATCACAGTGAGCTTCAGTTTTCTTTATTTAAATTTGTTTTCTTTATTTACTAGTCTTTATTTTTACTTCTCGTTTTTATTCGTGTGAAACGATACTCAGTCTACGTACATTTGGTAGAACCAACCCGAACCGATGAGGACACGTGGAATCCAATTTTGTTCAACAATGAAAATAAAAATAAAAATGTGTTCCTAATGAAAATACGTACATGTCGTGTTTGGGCTCATTTTCATCGGGAAAGCTTCAACAATCTGTTGGTAATAGTCTCGCGAAGATACAGTTACAAGTATACGAATGTTTATTTTTATTAGTAAACGAAGTTTAGTCCCATACGCGTACTGATCATTCTTGGCTGTCAAAGTTACTTTCCGTCACTCCATTCTTCTCATTCTTGGTGTACTCCCATCTTTATCGGCTTGGTGATAGTAGGATTTCTCTGGCTCTCGTCTTAGGAGAATACGATACGGTGGTATGTGCCAGTCCATGGCCTTGAACAATCAAAATATTTGGCGCGTACGTTAGTTGGCAGGTGCGAGCATCGCGTGTGCAGGAAGGAGAACCGAGCGGCCTCCAAGAAGCAGTGTAGCTCTTGTGCGCTGCTACTCTAAGCAAGAAACACAGCTCCACAGCCACCGGACCCACAATGCCACGGACAAGAGGTCACCTTCGTCCCTTGCTCCCTCCTCCTTTCCTTTCTATCCGACTCTTTATCTCCCGATTCAGAGTCCT